AGGGAAAGTATATGCGCTTCGAGACTCAATCTCGAACGAAAGGAGCCTTCTCCCTGTGGATTCAGGTTACTCCTCCAGGGCGCGCAGACGAGACAAAGAATAAATGACAATATTGTACAAAGGGGAAGTCGGATTGAGGAAAAATGATGGTGGTCGGGGGTGAAGATGAATCGAAGTGGATGGTTTGGAAAAACGGGGATAAAATGGAGAATGATCAATCAGGTGCAAGGAGGTGAGAAGGTTAGCGCAGTTTTGACTGCAATCAATGAGGATGGGTGGACAAGCGAAGCAGGGAAACCGTAGGTAGGGGAAAGAAGCAGCAGCTAGGGTTATTACTTGAACTAGGGGAGTGGTTGAGTGGGTAAGGGTCGAGAATGGGGGGTGTTTTGAGAGGGGAGGAACAGCCGCCAGTGAGGGAGCACCAGGAGGAAATGCCAGGCTCGTCAGATAATAATCGGACAGCTGCACCACCCACAACAGCGAAGGCGCAATCCTTTGGCTTAACCAGGGACCCTTTTTGGGCGGGTTGTTTGACCTGTGCAGCTGTTTTTGCCGCCTAAGAGCTGGTTGGTTATTGGGACTACTGGGCCTTCCCAAGCACAAAGGGCTGCAACGAATAGGTACTCGTAGTGGACGTCGGCCGGGCTTGAGTTAATGTTTAGTGGCGCCCGGCATCGCGCGCCCCTTAGCTGTCCAAGCTTACCCACACCGTCTCCATTGGGTGCCCACTAGTGGCTTGTCCATCTCCAGTCCCCATTGACAGTCCCAGACGAGAAAGGGGAAAAGAGTTTTATTTTTTACAACAGACGGAGTCTTGATGTGGGTGGCTTTTTGCAATGCACAAAATTCAACTAGTCAACTCCCCAGTGCCAGTGTCTGACTACTGTGTGCTACTGCCACGGAACCAAAGGCTTTGCCAAATATTAACATTTGGGTTCCACAGCCCGCGTCCAGCAAAGTTCGATGGTCCAAGGTGCTGGGTGCGCATCCTCCAGCTGCAGTACTTGTACCTAGGAAAAGGACGGGTCCTCCCAGCATCGAGCGATCATCAGCCAAATGGCTTACCTACTCAGGAGGTACTGTATTTCTTCATCTCGCTCCAAGCAATGTCTCTTCTAATGCCTTCACTAGATCGCCCTTGGATCGCGGCGCTGTTGTCTCAAGCCCTCGGCTCTAACCCACTGAGGCCAACTACAACCGGGGTCTCCCACACTCACCCACCACTTGTCACCTCCCTCTCCTACCTCCGTCACCCTGGTCTCTTCACTCAAGTTGGCTTTCGACCGAGACTGGGATCGCCCACTTGGTTACACCCGCCCAGACCACTTTCGGATATCCGTCGTCTTGCTGGCGCAGGGGCCGCGTCCGAGCTTCCGGGTTGTTTACGAGGAGGAGCACACTTACTCGTATCTGCAGATGAAGAATTGTATCGCGAGGATGACCTCCCAACGCACGAAGAGTGGGCACAAAGGACTACCCTTGTTGGTGCTGGGACCTTCCGCTGCGCAGCTTGGCCTGATATAACGTCTGCCCTACCGAGGAGTTGTAATCATCGTCGCTAGGTCACCCCTTTGTTCGTCGCTTCGGGTCATAGCGCCCTTCTCAAGAAATCTAGTGCGTTCCATGAAAGCCCTGGAAATTGCGACTTCCTGGTCTTTCCTCAACCAAATATCCGCTCTCGCAAGTCAATTGACGGCAAGACTGGTACGACTGGGTACGAGTGATTCTATGTCTCAAGCCAGATGCTTCCTCTATCAGGTGATGGCCCCCTTCAGGCACTGGGAGGATTGTTCCCGAGCTCGCTGAAACTTTATCTTGACACAGATCTGTCAGAATTCAGGTACGGGGCACGGGGTTGTGCCGCTACAACTGCTAAATAGCACCAACTCAAGCCAGCCGGTACTTGGATGTTTCTTCCAGCACATAAAGTTCATCCAGAAAACTTGATTTCCCTTGGAGGTTCGTCTTGCTACTATTGCTTCCAACGCAATGGATTTGATTCTCCTCGAATCTTGTAGCCAGCTCGCCAGACGATCAGGCCAGGGTGTCAAAGCTAAAACCTGCGTCTGCAAGCCCAAGTCCCAGATTTACGGAAAGCAACCAGGCCACCCCCAGCGGAGAGGTCGATCTGGACCTGTCTTCGGATTCTGCGCTCATAACCTGCATGCACAAATCAAGCGACATCCTGCGTCCTTGTTTCACATGTCAGCTGCAGTTCTCCTATTGGCGCGTCAGACATTTTTCCCTCACAGTGAATACTACGTACCAAAACATCAAGCACTTGCAAAGTGACAGCTTACGGAACGGGGATGCTGCTCGTACAGACTTTGACAGTCACTGTGGACCCTCACTCAGGCTTTCTTTCTGAGGAAGGCAAGTCAACTCTGCCTCCCCGATTTCCACCACTTTGAGCACGATTATTCGTCCGCCTCCTTAGTGTTGCTTTGTGCTCTGCATTGCCGATCAAGTGCCACAACGCATTTGCCCGAGAGTACCATCAAATCATGTTCAGAGGCGCTCCCGCAGCCTCCGGACTCGGCGTCCTTTTTGTCCGTCACATTCAGCCTCTACATTGCCCAACCACCCTTTGCTCTTGCTTTTTCCGTCAAAACCTTCCATCTTGGACCATCACAACGGAGAATGAGAGACCGGCGTGACTCAATTAAGGCAGAGAGGAACCCACCTCGGCCAGAACAGGCACTCGAGGATCTGCATCTTGGCGCCACCAGTTGCACTAGGAGTACCAGGTATGTGATCGCTTCTGATCTCGAAAGCCCGAATGAACCTGTTGCCAACCACTCCCCGAAAACGTCTACCGGCATTGTGGCCTGTGACATGGTCGACTGGAACCGACTGTTGCTACTTGATACTAGCAATCTGTGCGTTGTCATTCGGACTTCGAAACCCCAGAAGTATCACGTACAAGTTTCACGGGCTTCGAGTCGAGACCAGCGACAGGCTCTCGTTTTCTCCATATAATAAAGTGGGTATTTACTCGCATTTGCGCTCCGGCAGGGAACCTCCGTCAGACGCGACGATCAATGAGTTTGGGAACAAACTTAGATACCGAGTCAATAAGACAGAATAGGTAGGATTGATGCTCTGAATGGGTCACGTTTCAAAGCTCCTCCTCTATTTTCGCCAGCTCCCTGAACTCAGCTTCTGGAATCTGCGCACCAACTGCAGGTGAGCCGTTAGCAAATGTCAACTTAGAGAGGATCCTTTCAACCCGTTCCCTGGCATTATTGCTGGCGACGATGGCTTAGTAGATTCCTGTCGAGAGGTGACGCAGCCAGAGAAACAAATCCCTGCGCCACTCAAACTTTCTACACCGCGCGAACCTGGATAGCAATGAGCACCCAAACCCATACATATCTCACAGTTCATGCCTCCAATGTAGCAGGGCAAACTCTTTCATAAAATATTGTCGGAATCACCTTTCTTGTACACAATTCCTTTTCGGGAGGAAACGTACCCCACTTCAGCCTCGCGAGGCTGTTGCCTCATGTGGGGTAGAAAGTATTGCCAAATTGAGGTGAGCTTCACGAAGGGCATCACTTGATGGGAATTGCATCTTGGAACGACATGTCTGGTATGCGGCGTTGCTCTTATCATCGAAGACAGTCTATGTCAAGGGCTGGTCTGCCACTTCATGGTTTCCTTCTATCATTGTTCTGCCTCAAGCCGTTACAAGGGTCTGAAAGACAAGAGAATCCACGGATAATTTCATTACCTGGTTTCATTTATTCTGTGTCTGGATCTTCATAAATTGAGGCTGCACATTCCAGCAGAGTCATCCTTTCACAGCCACTTGTCCGGCTGGAAGAAACCTACCGTGGTCGAGGCATGGCGTGAATCCCTGCTCCGGGTTTGCCACGGCTCTTTTGGAGATATCTGTTGCCTTTCTGTGTCTGGTTTTTAACAAGCACAAATACGAGTTCTCACAGGATATAAGACTCCAGGTAGGATATCGACCTCCAGGATGCCGTCTTTGCAAAAGTCGAGTGTCTCGCAGCCAAACCACAAGACGCCTTTGGAATTTCCCATTTCTCCGCACGAGGTTTACGAAGTCAAGACAACGGTGGACATGGTGGATGGACAACCTCCAACCCATCAGCTTCCCCCAATTAACCCATCCCTTGTCAATCCATCCCTCCTTTCCCCAAGTTTTACTTCAGGCCTCCCCCCTCCGCAATTAGCCCCACGATAGCACCCTCAAAACTTCTGGGACGCTATCCCAGACAGACTGTGGGAAGACCATGGTTCTAACGATCAGGTGGCATTTGGCCCATTACAACTCCTCAATCTTGGGATTCTAGCTTTCGAACACCAATTCTTCCCACATCTTATCTGGTGATCGGAGAAGCACCGGATCGTTCCCATCATGGCACTAATCGGCACTTCGACCATTATATTTCCCAAGCTCGACAAAGAGAATGCGGCCGCGAAGAGAAAACATGTGTGCAGTGTTTGCTCGAGGGCTTTTAAGCGAAGCGAGCACTGCATCCGACATCAACGAGGCCGTAAGCCATGTCCCTCGACTCATCGCGTCTGCACCCGGTGCGAAAACGCTTACAAGTCTTCAGATACTCAAGAGAAACCTTTCGGTTGCAGGGTCTGTCGAAGAAGGTATAGTCGAAGGTATTTGGAAACGCTCATCGACGACGGCGTCTATTAACTACGTCCCCCTAGAGATCTCCTGGTTCGCCATGAGAGAACCCTGCACACTCCGGAACAAGTAGCAAAGGCCATCGAGAAGCAACATACGGATGGACCGACAACTCCAGACCTTCCTTCCGGTCGGAAACCCCCGATCTTGGTTGAATAATTCTGACTCCACGATTAGCAGAGAATGCCACAGCAAAGTCATCCATATCTAGAGGCAAAGGAAAGGACGAAACTGTCGTGCTGCCAAAAGACTTGCCTCCAGATCTCTCGGATTCACGCCGGCGCCAACCCAGAGGTTCCGTCTGTACATCTTCTAGACCAGCTGCCAAACCATGCACAAGATCGAGTGCTGTTCAGCCGCCAAAATCCCCAGTGAGTCAAGGTCAGAGGCTGGCAACTCCAGTCGATAGCGCATCTGAACCAATGCTATCTTCAAGTTTCGGTGGAGGATCTGCTCTTGTTGCAGAACCTCAGCCTTCTATGGGGCTTCACCTGGCAGATTTTAGTGTCGATGTTTCCGACCTGGAGAAGATGCGGACATTTCCAAGCTCAGTGCCTCTCCCAGACCTTGATGGCGACCTGGAATTCCTGGACTTCTTCGACCCCTTCTTGGGCTTACCTCCAAAGCAACTTGAAGCTTTTGCAGTACCACCGCTCGGCGGCAATACGGATGGCTGGTCCCCTCTAGAGAATTTCTCAGGTTCGAGCCAGGCTTCCATGCAGGATTACGGTTTCCAGCAGAGTCGTATTTCGACTGCGAACGAGACTCCGTCAGTTGACGATTCAAATCAATCGTGGGAAACGGGCAGCCGTGAAAATTCGCGTGCTAAAGGGCCCACCGGGCCATGGGACGAGACTCCAGCCCAGGTTTTCAACATGAATCGTCCCGATTCCGAGGGCTATTCGGGCTACCAAATTCCACAGACGAAGAAGTACCCCAGACCTCCAACACTTACTTTTTCAGAAGCAATGCGAATTCATCTGCTAAGGGACCTGTCGAGTAGACTCCCTGCTGAAAAATTGAACAAATTCCGACTGCCTAGTGCAGCCGCACTCCAAAAATGCATTCGAACCTACGTCGATGCCTTCCACGTTCACCTGCCCATCTTCCACCTTCAGACTATGGACTTCGAAACCACACCTTCGCCACTTGTTCTCGCTATATGTGCAGTTGGCGCTCTTTATCGATTAGAAAGAAAGATTGCGGCTTCATTGTACTTGAAAGCAGACCAAGCCCTCGCTGCCGCAGTTGATGACCGGGGTGAACATCTCGACAAGAAGCCACGGTTGCTGGAAGATTGGGTTCGGCCACAACCTCAATCACCGAAATCGACGCCGGAATCATTGTGGAGGAGTCAAACTCGGTTGCTGCTTGCAATGCTCAGCTGCTTCAGCGGCGACCCGGAAGTCATTTCGAAGGCTATTATTCGTCTCGGCGACTTCCTCGTGGTAAGCACATTGAGTTAGTTGGAGGAGCACCGTTTTAATGACTCATTAGGATTTTCGTGACTTGGCTCCTACCGTAAAACCGCGCAAAAGCACAGATAGGTGGCTGAGTTGGCAGGAATGGGTCGAAAGGGAGAGTGTTAAGAGGTAAGCGGAGGGAGCGCGAGGATTGCATCGCCCCCACTAACACAATGCATAGGTTACTGTACGGTCAGATAATGTTTGGCAATTTGGTCACCATGACTTACGGGATTCCCCCCGGATATTCCTTGGTTTCTGATGGTTTCATCGAAATGGCCTGCGACCAGTCCCTGTGGGATGCACTCACCGAAGAGCAGTGGCACGAAGCGGCAATGCGAAAAGGCCAGAGCTCACGACTCAATGTCAGAGAGGCAGTGTCGATGGTCATGAACGGGAATTCAGTCAAGACGGTGCCGCAAGAGTGCTGGGAGTGGTCACCCTTTGCAATCAGCGTGGTGATAAACGTTATTTCCATTCACATCTGGCACATCACCCAAGGATCCTACTTTTTCGGCGACCTCTCTAGTCCTGGACCGTCCAATGAAACCCAGAAATCCCAGACTCTCGCCCAAACAGAGGCCGCGCTTTCGAGGTGTCGGGCCCTGATCACCCAAGCCAGCTCGGATGCCGACTATCCGTGGACGGAAGCCGAAACCCCTTTGTTGTTCAATTGTCTAGCGCTGTTGCGGGTCAGCTATTGCCGGGCATTCACAGGACATAGCGCGGCCGATTCAATGGTGTTGCTCAAGGAAAGCCAGGAAGAATTTATGACTTCAATTGAGGACTTTATCGCGCTACCGCAGAATCGAGGCAATCTCGTGGCAAGAGCTGTCGGTCGGGCATTCGAAGGAATGCTGATACCGTACAAGGCGGGAACCCTGCTGATCAAGAAGACAGCCGCCTTGACCTGGGCGATCGGGCACGCGTTAGCAGGGTGGGAGGCAGGTAAGTCCATACAACAGACGACTGGCCTACTTCTCTATCACAGAACTGACTCCTGGTCACAGCGCTGTTGGTCACGAAATGGGTGCATGCAATCGAAGTTGAGATACGATCAAGTCGTGACTCTGCATCGATCAGCGAGCTCGAGACTCAGACGATGCAATCCATCAGAAATCTGCTGTTGGACTTGGAGGATGTTCTGGACGATGGAGCCGGACTCTCACTGGCAGCCAAGCTGGCACGATACTGGGCTGGCTTCTACGATGATACCTGGGTATGGGGTTTGACACCCCGGATGGGATATATTCTACGCGAATTGGCCAATTGCTATGAGAACAAGTTGGGGGCTTGTTGATGACAGATCTCGAAAGATATGAGGCGCTATCGGACCGAGATCCAGAGGGAAGCAAGAGGGAAGCAACATAATATCAACCAAGTCGTTGGGCTGGTTTCTTCCTATTTGTACTGAGTATCCGATATTGTGACTACACTGGTAGTCAAATGCCAAATCGGGTCTTCCAGATGACTAAGCAGTGATGACTAAGCCTCCCGCCATCTTTGGTTTCTCCGACTCCGCGATTTTCATCGTCGCTTCAGCGATTCGCGTCTGTAAGCGAACCGAGCGCATCGTGAAAGATCAGATCTTCCCCCATTGGCATCGCTGCTGTAAGCCTTGTGCGGTTTTAGGGTCGTACAAAATTCCACCTATCGTTTCTTCCTGTCTCTTGCCCAATTCTACTCGTGCAGTACACGTCTCTCACCTGTACATCATCAATCTTAGGTGGTTGCCCAACCCGCAATTGCCGAGAAGATGTCGTATGAAATGTCAACACAGCATGCTACCCGAGTAGGAGCCAAGCGTATGTGATCTCCGGCTTGACTGAATGTCGCTTTTGGCCTATGCGCCGAACCTGAGTTCCTGGCTGACACGAGATCGTCGTGTAGCATTCAATCATAGTCAATCCCAAGCTGCCGAAGCAGAGTACGACCGGCTACGAAATCTCGCACGTCAGGAGGCCGCCAAACGTGCCACGTGCTTCCAGCGATCCCAAGAAGCATATGCGAATGGCGACGGCGCGGCTGCGCATGCGCTCTCGCAAGAGGGCAAGGAGCACGGCGCCAAAATGGAGATGTACAATAAACAGGCGGCCGACTTCATCTTTCGCGAAAACAACGCGGATGGACGAGTCGCCGCCGACACGATCGACTTGCACGGGCTGTTTGTCGAAGAGGCGGAAGAGATCTTGGAACAGAGGATCCGCTATGCTCAGAGTCACGGCCAGACACATCTCCACGTCGTGGTCGGGCGGGGCAACCATTCCCGCGATCACGTCCAAAAACTCAAGCCTCGAGTCGAACAGACTTGCCGGGATCTCGGCTTACAATATCACACCGAGTCCAACGACGGCAGGATATACATCAAGCTGGATGGCAGTCCCGTGGACATGCAACATGTGAGCGATTGGCAGGGCTACCAGACGTATCCAGGTCAGCAGCAGCAAGCTTGGCAACCTCAACACACTCAGCAACAACAACAGCAACCACAATATGGTGGAGGAGAGAAGCATGGTGGGGGACTGCTGGCCCGGCTCATCAACAAACTCTTGCGCATGTTGTGTGGATGATGGCATGATCATCATTCCAGCTCGCGATATACAACATGTCCGCCATACGCCTTCTTTGTTTAGAGCAGAAGTTTTGGCAATTTGGCCACAGACTAAAAGGCTGCTAAGGGTCATGTGGTAACTCCTATTCCAACCATGGCGGATCTTCAAACCAACCGATGCACAACTTTCTACGACTTACACTAAGCTCTCTTCGCAATTCCACTCACCAGCCGTCTCGGGTTCTGCATTATCGTTTCCTGGGCGACGTCATTACCTTCGAAGATTATTGACGCTCATCATCATTTGCACGTTTGATAGATCTCTATCAGTATGAGGCTACCCAGGGTCAGTATATCAGATGCAATGGGGACAGAACGGAAGAGCTATTTCCCCTGGCTCCCACCGTATGTGCTTCGTCCACCGTTGTATTTTCCATGACGAGCTGACTCTATTAGAACTTGGCACCTACACCTGTCGAGCCAGAAACGCTCATAAGGATACAATACGCTCATCTAAAGCGCAATCGTTGCTCTGCGCCAAACGGCTCGATCTCTGGCTAATCGGTTCTTTTGACGGACTAGAGCCCTCTGCGGGATGGATATTCACCCTGGTGCCTTGGGTACGGACAGGAGAATTCACGCATTTGTCGCAAGCTTGGGTGAGAGCCCTAGAGTCAAGTCTCTCGGCTTTCCTGTTTTTCTAATGGTAACCGTGAGTGTACTTGGTCACCCAGTTGGCTGTTCGGCGTTTCTCCAGGACTCGATCTGCGTTACTTCCTGTAACAGCCATTTGCACAGATGTCTTCTGAGCGCTTTTGTTACTTGTTCGCATTTACTCCACAGACGCGATGCAATTTTGAAGAGATATACCTACCGCAAGTCAGCTGGTTGAGGGTTTAAAAGCTAGGGATCACCATGTTCGTCGGTTTTATCATCACTCCTCGAATGTTGCTTTCAAAGTTTGCGCATCGATTTGGTTCAGATGTGAATGATAGCGTATCCGAAGCAGTCGTCACTAAAATCATAATGTTCTCGCTGAAGCTGAATCTACACGTTCACCTAACTCGGGCATCTATCCACCAAAGGACGATAAATCCGAAATGTAATGAAGAGGATCTCTTCAAGCTCTCGGCTCCCGGTCATGGAACATGAGACCTCCTGCCTGCAGATACCCGAGTATAGACGGTGCCTTATCTTGATATATTTGTGTGTTCGATGGCCAGGCTACACAGTAATAGTCTGAATGCTTAACGGGCTTGATCGACCCTCGTGTGTGCATACGCGTACCACGGTATCCAGGGGTCGTCAGCCTGGTTTTTGTGTGTCTCGGTTTGTTTGCAAGTTTCGGATGTTTGGCACATTTGCAGCGTTTGCAGCTGGACCTCGTTGCACTCCTCTCCACTTCAAAGTCTACAGCTCTGCTCGTTTGCATCGCTCGATTCTTCGGTCAGGTTCTTTTCCCGCTCTAGCTAAAAGGATCAGAGGGCCCTTCAGAGATACGGCTTTTATGATGTGTCACGGGCTTGAAGTGTCGTCTGTCAAGACAACTCCTCTACCTGCAGACTGCGCCTCGGTTAGACAGTGACGAGTATATCGCCTCACAGTTTCACGCTGCGCAAGTACGCTTAATCTCGAGGGCATTGCCATAGGAGGGTGAACCACATTCCAACATGATGACAATCTAGCTCCTGTGCCTGTCTGAGGACGGTAACTGCACGTCTTTTTCACAATCCACTCCCCATTGATCTTCGGAATGCGCTCCCCTTCGCCCCGACATGCTGATACCGAGCTCGACGACTTTGCGCCCTTCTCCTCTGAGGGGCCCTCGCGCTGGGACGCCGCCGACCCGTTGCTCTCACAGACGAACGATCTTGTCGAGACTCCAGCTAAAAGATCGATCATACCTGGGGTGAAGAAGTCCTGGGCTGCTCGTGTCCTCACGAGGGTGCAGACGGAATCAGAGCCTGGCCTCTCAAATGCTCAACTGATGCTCACCAACCATGACTTGAAGCCGGTCGAACCCCAGCGACGCCAGTGGACGGCATGGAGTTTTGTCGGTATGGAATCTCGTAGGCGGTCATGTACGTCTTACTAACTCAGGCGGCCAGCCTTTTGGATTGCCGATTCGTTCAACATCAACACCTGGATGATTGCCTCCACTATGCTCACCTCCGGCCTCGCGTGGTGGCACGCATTGATTTGTATCTTGATCGGCTACTCGATCTCTGCTGTATTGGTCTGTCTGACCGGGCGAATAGGCGCCGCCTACCACATCTCCTTCCCTGTCGTTTGTCGTGCGTCATTTGGCATCTGGGGATCGTGGTGGCCAGTCTTCAATCGAGCCGCCATGGCTTGTGTCTGGTACGGCGTGCAAGCTTGGATTGGTGGCCAGTGTATCACGTTGATGATTCGGTCCATCTGGCCCTCCTTCTACACATTGCACAACGGCATCCCCAATTCAGGCACCAACACAAGGGATTTTGTGGGCTTCTTCATTTTCTGGATCGCATCTCTTCCTGCCATCTGGTTTCCCGTTCACAAGATTCGCTACCTCTTCATGGTCAAGTCTTACATCGTCCCGGTGGCTGGACTCTCTCTCTTTCTATGGGCAATCAGCCGTGCACGTGGCATGGGTCCGATAGTAAAGGAGTCGGCGACAGCGACAGGTTCTGCGCTTGCGTGGGGGTGGGTGACTGGCATCATGAGTTCGATTGGCAACTTTGCGACTCTGATCGTCAACAATCCTGACTTCTCGCGTTTCGCCAGCAAGCCACGCGACGCTCTCTGGACGCAGCTTTTCACCATCCCTTTCGGGTTCGTCGTGACCTCTTTCGTGGGAATCGTGGTGTCTTCGTCATCCAAGGTCATCTACGGCACAGCCATTTGGAATCCCCTGGACCTTCTGTCTCAATTCCTCCTAGACGGAGCAACATCGGCTGAGAGATTCGGCGTCTTTGTCATCGCGTTGGCTTTTGCGCTTGCCCAGCTCGGAACGAACATCGCAGCCAACAGTGTCTCGGCGGGTACGGACATGGCGGCCCTGCTACCCCGATACCTCGACATCCGCCGAGGAGGCTACATCTGCGCCCTTGTTGGACTGTGCTTGTGGTAAGACCTGACTCTCTCTCTCTCGTGAAGTCGAAACATTATTTCCTGGCCCTCCATTCTTCGAACCAAGACACTTCCTCAAGAGGTACTAACGGCAGAGCAGTCCGTGGAATTTGTTAAAGACGTCCAACAACTTCACGACATATCTCTCAGCCTACAGTGTCTTCCTGTCGTCGATTGCGGCCGTCATCATCTGCGACTACTACATCGTGCGCCGAGCTTATTACTCCGTGCGAGATCTCTACTCGGCTCGACGTGCATCGCCATATTACTACCACTGCGGCGTATCGTGGCGGGCATATACCTCGTATACATGTGGTGTTCTCGTGAATATCGTTGGCTTTGCCGGCGCGGTTGGGGCCAAGGTACGTTTTGAACACTTATCCATCTATACCTTCATCTTTCAGCCTATTCGTCGTCGCTTGTCTCCTTGCTTCCGACCCATCCAGCAACCACCATCACACTCTCCTTCGCCTACCCCTTTCCCATTCCCGAAAAGTGAAACATGAGAGCCAACCCAACTTACCTCCCCTCTTCCTTGTTCTCTCTCCCGAGAAAAGGTCCCCAACGGAACGACCTATATCTACCGAGTCAACTTCCTCGTCGGCTTCCTGGTCGCCTTCGCGGTATATTACCTGCTGTGTCGGATCAGGCCTGTCCCCGCGACGGATGCGATCGAGGGCGATATCGTGATGGAAGGGAAACGGCGACAAAGACTTGTCGGACAAAATCACCTAGGTTTACAGCGTGGTCGACGTTTTGAAATCCGAGAGGAGGAGAGACAACCGGGTTTTGATTCGGATGAGAGAGATGTCTCTGGCACTATATAGGAGGGATACCCTGGTAGTATGGATGATGTCCGTATGGATATATATTGCACTTAACTCGTACAGTAGATGTGTGAGTGTATGCCCTCGTACAGAGAGGTGTCGACACCATGCACCTACTACGTACACGTCCTCATGATGATACCATGATATCGCCTGCGTGCGTGACACAGGTCAGAAACCTCCTCTAGACCAGAGAGTCGTCCAAATCGTGAAAATCTGTGCGTCAATCATTGGCCTCTCTCTCTCTCTATAAAACGTATAACCGACTACTAATGTAACTATATGTGATGGTTCATGTCCACGGACAATTACGGAGTAAATGACCTCCATAACAATCATAATCACCATCACCACCGCAATCACTCTCATCATCATCAATGAACATCAGTCCATATACGTCTCCTCGTAAAATGCAACCATAGGCGCCAATACATGTGAATGCTACCGTCGTCAACACGTCAATCAATCAATCGTCCAACCCTTTGGCCCGCTCTCTCGCAGACAACATCTCCCAGCCAGTGCCAAACTTGCCCCGGCCCTTCTTGCGCTGGTTGCCCATCTCCTGGCTCTCTTCAATGTCGCGCACCGCCGCAAACAGGTCGTAGACAATCTTCTCGTCGACGGCGCTGTCGCCCTTGTACGCCGGGTGGCTGCGGGTGAACTCGCGGATCCATTTGGCGGCCGTCCACAGCGTTCCGTTGGCTCGCTTGCGGATCAAATCCAGATACACGGCCAGGTGGCAGCGCGTGTCGACGTCGATGTTGACGCTGTCCAAATAGGACTCAACCAGAGGGATCAGTCCAGGAAACCCGTCGCACGCACCGCCACCACCGTTAATTACCTCGTTGATCGTCATGAGCGTATACTCGTCGTCGACGGGGCCAAATGATGACTTGATGGTCTCTGCCGAGGCTGGCGTATGGCCTGACTGGTTTGTCAAATCCTGCTGCAGCTGTGAAGGCGTTGATTCCCCGCTTGACGCGGGCTCGCTGATTCCGTTCAACACCGGCGACTGCCTCGGGCTCTTCTTCGGAAATGGATCCTTTCGGAACCAGAATTTCTCCTTCATGACCGCATCCCG